ATAAATCTTTGCTCTTGACAATAAAGTCACAAATAGATGTAATCACAATTTCATCAGAGAGGCTTTTTACCTGGAGCACTGAAGTTTCTTGGCATAAGGAACGCAACATCTGTAAATGCCTTGATGAAAGGGATAGATACGCCAAGCCACAGACGCAATCAGGTTATTTTTATGGGTTCTTTAATTGATAGTCACTCTAGTTTCTGCATCATTTGCAATTTAAATAAATGCAAAAGGTTTTATTTGAATCTCTGCCCTTCCCTAAAGATTAGCGATACAAAAAATAATTCAGTCGCAAGAAAAAAAAAATGAAGTCTCACGTTAAAAGAGAACAGTCAGAGGTCAGAAAGGCAGCTGGCTGGGTCCTGTGGGTTGGCACCTTTCCTTCTTTCTCATTTGCTCACCCACACTCCTGATATACCAGACCACTCACCGGACACAGACACACACAGAGCTCCTGCAGCAGACCTATTCACTGGGAAAGTAGCCATCCTGCCACTTATGGCACGCTGAGCCCCAGCAAAACAAAAGGTATTTAACCTTCCCCTCACCTCACTCCTTAGCAGGGACAGGGCTGCAGACCGGAAGGTCCGCAGAAACCAGGAGGCAGCTCACTGTTTGCTCGACATGCAGGGAGGCATAACCCCCCCCACACACACACACACACTTGGTGGTACTGGCCATTACAGTCACACCCCTCCCAGAGGATGCAGCGCACCCGATGGACAGCAGACCCAAACATGCTGAGGAACTGCACACAGCACATGCGCACACACACAGCGCTTGGGAAATTACTATCGAGACTCCTCTGGTCACCAGAAAGCCATAGAATGACTGCAAGATTGCTGCAGTGGTCTTGCTGGACGTCCCAAAGAGAGTGTATACACAGTTACTAGTCCTCTCTTTTCCTCCCTCTGCTCCTGCTCACTCGAGGACCCTCACTTTGTGGTCTTGCCTTGTTCGATGTGTATATGAAACCACTCCTTGACAGCTGAGAGAGCACTGCCCTCAGTTCATTGCTCTCCAACCACAGCCCAAACTGGACAGAATGTTGTAAACGGGGGCATTGCAGCCCTTCACACATCAGTATTCATACTCACCTAGCCCTACTGGAAATATCTGGCACGTCCTGGAGGTTTGTCTCTGCAGCAGCAGCACATTCTTCTCGGGCGTTTCATTTTTTCTTCTTGATTTGGTGTTACCTACAAGTTTCAAAAATTATACTCCCTACTCCCTTCCCACAGGTAACAACTGAAAATACTAAAGATTAAGTATTCAAGATTGGCCCACGTTGCTTCACTGTTTACTTCTTCCAAACCTAACAGCTTTGTAAAACTTAAAAAAAAAATATTGTACCCATCTGTTACCATTTAAGGCACTTCGAGCCAATATTCATTTCCTGTGAAGGCGATGTCCATCCTTGGTCCTATGTCACATCTGGAAGTTCCAGTCAGTTAAAGTCACCAGCCAGAAGACCCATCCTCTGTGAATTCATCCAAAAGCATCATTACAGTTCTAGCTTCAAAACTACCTTTGTGTTTGTGAGCTTGACAAGTCCCTTCAAGGGAACTGTGGATTTATCCTTCATGTGAAGTATTTATACAGCAAGTAAAGCCGACCTGCATGTTATGACATCAAATCTATTAAAATTCAAAGAGGATGCCTCTTCTACATCTGATTTAGCAAGCCAGTTCCCCTCAAAGAGAGATATTCTGCCAATTACCTTCATCAACTCTGCTTACAGTCTACTTGCTTTTATGCACTTAATCATTTTTAACAGTAATTATGCAGTATGCATCATTAAGCTTCATCAGCCTTGGAGCAGGACCATGGCTCAATAGGCAAAAGGTCCCCAAGTTCATTCCCCAACATCTCTAGTTAAGAGGATCAAGTAGTGGGTGGTATGAAAAGATCCCTGCCCAAGACCCTGGAAAGCCACTGGCAGTCAGAGTAAATACTGAGTGATAGACCAGTGGTCTGATTTAGTATAAGGTCATGGGTCACTTTGAGTCTTTACTATAAATGAGGTATTAGTCGCTAGAGTGACTTACTCTGCCTCAAGAAGTAGCTAATCTCATCTTCACCTGCCTCAAGAGTCAAAAGTGGCTGATCTTTTCTTCACCTCCAATCCTACAGACTGGCGTGATCTCTGACCCTACCCTAGATACTGTTTCCTTGCTTCGATCTTACCCCTTCCTCATTTTAAATCAGCATTCAACATTCATGCACAAAGATTTCTTACCTGCATAGAAGGATCACCCACCAAGTGCCATGGGCAAAATTCCAAAGCCCACACAACCCTGCTGATTTAGGGGTTTCATCTTTTCTGCCCCACATAGTACACCAACATTTTGGATGGAAACTGGGCTGCTGAATGTGAGGCAGGCAAGCAAGTTTAATGCCTGGTACAAACGGACCAGAAGCCAAGGGAAGGATCAGCATTACATCCATTCGACACACTTCGATTGTTGGATGCCAGATCATCTCCTTCAGTGTTTCCCCAACATGCAGAAGACTTTTTTCTAAGGGACAATATTATTGGAACTGAGCAAGAGCCACCATCTCCAAAGGCCAGAAGCCACATATACTGCAATGATGTAGAACACTGAAACATATGTATGTATTACTGATAACCCATTTTCAGGGAATGTCTATCCTACTCCCAAGATTGGAAGCAACTCCTAACAAAAAAAATTGTATTCC